CGACCAACGAAGTCTGCACTCCTTCGACCAACAAAGTTTACACTTCTTTTGCTTCTTCGACCAACGAAGTTTGCACTTCTTCGACCAACGAAGTTTGCACTTCTTCGATCAACGAAGTTAGCACTTCTTTGATCAACAAAGTTAGCAATTCTTCGACCAACAAAGTTTGCACTTCTTCGACCAACAAAGTTTGCAAATTACATAAGTCATTATATGGCCTGAAGCAGGCTAGCAGACAGTGGTTTTCGAAATTATCCACTGCCCTTATCTCTCTTGGCTACTCATATTCTTCTGCTGATCATTCCTTTTTTACAAAATCACATGACTCTTCTTTTACTGCCTTATTAGTCTATGTTCATGATATTGTCTTAGCCGGTAATAATTTGCAGGAAATCCAATATGTCAAATGCTTCCTTGATTCCACTTTCAAAATCAAGGACCTTGGTAGGCTAAAATATTTTCTTGGTCTAGAAGTTGCCAGATCAACTCACGGCATTTTTCTCAATCAGAGAAAGTATGCTTTGGAATTGCTCGAAGACAGTGGCTTATTGGCTACTAAACCTTGCTTTACTCCCTTTGATTCCTCCTTAAAGCTTCATGATGATAACTCACCACCTTTCGAAGATGTCACAGCTTATCGAAGGCTTGTTGGAAAACTCCTATATCTGACTACCACCAGACCTGACCTTGCATTCATTATTCAACAGCTTAGCCAATTCATCTCACATCCTATGCAAGTTCATCATTCTGCAACAATTCGAGTACTCAAGTATCTCAAAGGTGCTCCTGCCAAGGGTTTGTTCTATTCATCTTCCTCTCCACTCAAACTCTCTGGCTTCGCAGACTCAGATTGGGCAAGTTGCCCTGCTACCCGCAGATCCGTAACTGGATACTGTGTGTTCCTTGGCAATTCCCTCATATCCTGGAAATCCAAAAAGCAGACTACAGTATCAAAATCAAGTTCAGAAGCGGAATACAGGGCCTTGGCAAGCTTGACTTGTGAATTGCAATGGTTGCAGTATTTGTTCAAGGATCTCCACATCTCCTTTGATCAACCTATCTCAGTCTATTGTGACAACAAAAGTGCTATCTACCTTGCTCACAATCCCACCTTCCATGAACGAACAAAACATATCGAAATTGACTGCCACGTCATTCGTGAGAAAATCCAAACTGGTCTCATCCATCTTTTACCAGTTTCTTCAGCTGCTCAATTGGCAGATGTTCTCACCAAGCCTTTGGCAGCCCCCTCTTTCGATTCTCTTGTTTCCAAGCTTGGTCTATTAGATATCCATAGTCCAGCTTGTGGGGGGCTATTACATGATGAAAATAATTCTGTTTAGTTTGTTACTAAACAGTTTGTAGTTTGTTATATTTGTTATAATTCTGTTTAGTTTGTTACTAAACAATTTGTAGTTTGTTATAGTTTGTTACACTCAAACAGTATATATAGTACTGTTTTGTACATTCCAAATCAGAATAATACATTCAGTTTATTCCAAAATTAACAAGGTTTATGGTAATTCGCATACTTATCCTCTTTGAGATTGATTAAGATATGATGATGATCAGAAAATTTCACTCTCATTAAAACTTTCACAAAGGCTTCAGGAAAAAGGAGTCTCCACTCATCATTGCTAATAACTCTATCAAGCTTCTTGTAAATTTGTTGGCCTCCATAAAAAATAGGACCCCTCCAAGTAAATTTAAGACCTCTTGATTCTAGATCATTCAACTTACACTTCCTCATCCTGTCTCGAAATATTATACATCTACTCATAGAAGCCATCACCCCACCCTTTTTCTCCTCTACATGGCCAATGTCATTAAAATCACCCGCAACAAGCCACAGTTCATGAATATCATATGCTATTCTATGAAGCTCCCCCCACAAAACTTTTTAATAGTTCTCATGAGGACTTGCATATAAAGCTGTGAACCACCACTCCTCGCTAGAATCCATCTTAATCTTGAAATGGATAAACTGCTCATTTTTATGGCACACTTGCATCTTCAACTCGTTATTCTTCCACGCCACCACTATACCTCACGCAAACCCTCTATTCTCTATACTTTCTACATTGTCAAAAACCAAGCGTTTGATAGAAGCACTCAAATTATTTGGGCTACACCTAGTTTCCCCGATCACCAAAATAGAAGGTTTATAATTTTCCACTTAATGTTTACAATATCTATGGAATGAACTACTAGTCGCTCCTATGCAGTTCCACACCATAACTTTTAAGTTTGTACACAACTTAAAATCATAGAAAAAATAGTTTAAGCAGTCCATTGAGTTTCACCTACTGCCTCTGCATCTTCCTCTAGGTCACATACAACTTTGTTGATTTCCTCTTCAGCATCTTTTATTTGTTCCAGGACATACTTCACATTTTTGTCTAACAAGAGCTTCACATTTTTTGACAGGGAAAGTCTATCGGGAGGCTTGTCCAATTCAAAAATAACATTTTTCTCTGCATGAGAATCTTTATGTAGGCTACTGCCACCTGTATCCATACTAGAATTCTTGTCCTCCACTTCTGAAATTAAATATTTTCTATTTAGATTAAAAATGCCAAAAGTGTCTGCCACTAAGGTGTCTCCTGGGTTCAAATTGGCAAAAATACCTTCAATGCCCTTTTTGCTTATTCCACTAACTTTCTCCTTCATTTGGATACCGCCACATGTTTCCAAAGAAACAATCTTGCCTTTGGCATCATTATTTTTCTTCATGCCACTTCTGCATATGTTCCCTGATACCTTATTGTTATTATTGGCCCCATGATTATTCTCATCATTAATACCTAACGTATTTAAGAATTTGATTAATTCCACATCTTTTGCATTCTTCCGCCCACTACTGGTACTTCCCACTATTAACTCGCCAACTGTCCCATTACTCCTATTTTTGTTTTTGCTGGAATCAATAATTTTATGCTTATTTGAAACCGTTATAAGTTCTGCTATTATTCTCCAATAAGTTCTCCATAACTCTATCTTTTAAAACTGTATCATTTCCACTAATTTCCATATCCGAACTTTCCAAAGCTTGGAATCTAGATCCACCAATTTGGGCTTTCTCATTAATTCTCGCCGGAGTAAAAATTTTCCGGCCATCCGCCACTTTTCTTCCTCTTCTAGGCTTCTGAACAATCTTCCATGGGCATTGCTATCTCACTCATTTGAAGCTGATGATCCCCATTTGTGTTTCCTTCCTGCACCTTGTTGATTCTGCCATCACTTCCGTCATTTATATTCTTTTCCTCCGCCTTCTCTTTGTTCATGCATCCTTCCTTGTAATGACCGTCACGACCACACACAAGGCATAGTAGATGGAGTCCCTCATATTCGATCTTATAGCTACTCTCTTAAATGTTAAACATTGCAAGTAGCGACTTTGATAAGTTAACCGCCACACAAATGCGCACATACTTTCCTCTTTCCTATTTGATTGTAGTTCTTCCACTTTAATGGTATGTAGTTTCCAAACACCGTCAAAGCCCTCCGGTTATAATATTCAATAGGAAACCCCAAACTTCTCACCCACACCGCCACTTCGTCTATGGTTTCACTGTCTGGTTGGAAGTTAGGGTGCCAATCTTTAACTATCAGATAATGATCATAGATAAACCATGGACCATTTGTCATGGTCGTCTTCTTGTCATCTTCATGCGAAAAGGCCACCAAGTAATAATCATTACTTAGATCTATGATGCTAATGACACCTTTCCAGAACCACATCTGATTCAATCTGCACTCTAGAGCTTTGTAGCCGATTCTTCTTCCCAGCACCTTAACAATGACACCTCTGCGTCAAGGTCTTTGTATTCTTTTCTCTTTCTCTGTAGAGAAGATGAAAGTCAGGCACTTATAACCTCCAACTATCGTCTCCTCCACTCTTATGTCACCAATCACTTCCTCCAGGATCGCATCCTCCTCCTTATTATCTTGTTGTTCTTCCTTAATATCTTTATCACTTTTCCCCGTTATTATATCTTTGAAAGAAATTCGTTTCTCATTAAGAACGGGAATCGTCACCAGACTTCTCACCCTGAACAATCTCTTTAACTTTTTTAATACCCATTTCCTACAAATCGATCTCCATCGTGCTCTTCCTCAAACTTGCAGGGAGAAAAGTCAAACTTAGTGAAAAATTAGTGGACATCGCCATAACCCATTATGTTCTCCTCTAATATGTTCAAATAAAAATTAATTTTCTTTACAAATCAACTTTTAGGCTGAAATTGAACCGAAAACATCAGATTAAATTGGAGGAAATTCTTATTATCTCAAGTGTTTTTGCATATTATATCGTATATTTAATTAGTTACTTTTAATAATGCTTTATCTTAGAAAATAATTTGTATTATAAATCTCATACAGATGTTTTCCATTTTGATTCTTATCTATGATTACACCGTGCAACCAACTTTTTTAGTGTACTCTTTCCTTGTCTGCACCTCAATGTTTCTTCTATAACACATAAAATCCGATTCCAGGGGTACAATGGGTATTTTATTCGACACCAGGTAAGCCATTAGCGACTTTCACATGAATAAAAGCCAATCAAGGAACGCCACCTGTCTGATGACGTCAATCACTTTTCACTCAATGACGTCATCACAATTCCGTAAGATTCATTACCCACGCGCCATCCTCCCCTCATGGTTCACAGTAGGATCCAAAGCCATACACGTTCCACACTACGCATCCTCCACCGCTGTGCAGAACAAACTTTCCAGAAGCGCGTGTGAGTTTAAGTACGTGTTAAAAGGGGTTTGAATTTTCTTAACAAGGTTCCACTTAACTTCGAAGCATGTGCAAATATAACAATTTTTTTTTTTATATTTTACAATAATATAGCAACAACTTGTTTTCTCATTTTGTTTTTTTCTCCATAAAAATATATTAGAGTTCAGTGTGTGTATTTTGAGAGAGAGAAAAAAAGGGTGTAACCACAAAACCTAACCAAAATCTTGCTTAGATTCCAATCTTGGAAAATGGAAAATGAAAACCTAGGTCACGGTCGTGGAAAGGTAATTGATGAGTTGTTAAGAGGACGTGAACTTGCAAATCAACTTAGAAATATCCTCAATGAAAGTGGTGGTGATATTGATGATAATAATGGATCAACAACACCATTTGCTGAACATCTTTTGAAGGAAGTGCTTGTGACCTTTACCAATTCTCTCTTGTTCTTGAACAATACTCAAACTTCTGAGGCCTCTGATATGCAACTCACCAAATCTGAAGATTCTTTGGAGAGTAAATATAAGAGTACTTCCATTGTTAAGGAAAGAAGAGGCTGTTATAAAAGAAGGTAATTAAGTAACTTTTTTTATTACTAGTTATTAATTTTTCTTTAACATATCTTTGATGTTCTTTGATAAACCTATACATACAAATCATTTTTCAATCTGTAGAATTCTAATCCTGTTACTCACGGTCGTGTGTGAGTTTCTGGTGATTATTATCGCTCCATTTCTGGATTAAAAAACCTATATATATAACTTAGATCTAGTTTAAAGGGTTGATCTTGGAGGATATGGTTTTCCACACCCAGATAGGTTTTGTATATTTGGCTGAAATTTATTTATTTATTATTCATTTTTCTTCTCTTATTTCTTGTGTGAACTTTAGATGAGGTAATGTATACTTTGTTATTTGATATGATTACTGATAATTAAATTTAATTAATACTTTTGTTATTGTTTTTCCCTTACATATGAGTAATATTGGACCCTATTAATTATTGTTCCTCATTATTATCATCATCATATCAACCACATATCATGAAGGGGCTGTGATGTAATTTGGCATGTTCCTTTTTTATTTATTTGCTTGTTTCTAGTTATTAAATATGGTATGGTTGTCACAGTATAATTATTTGATTACTGTATATTCTGCATTGATATTGGTTTTAAGTTTTGGTCATGAATTAGAAAAGTATATGCAATTTTTATTTGCAGAAAAGTTTCACAAACATGGGAGAAGGAGTCTGAATATCTAGTGGAAGATGGTCATCAATGGAGAAAGTATGGCCAAAAAACTATCCTCAACACCAAATTCCCAAGGTTTGTTCTTTTATACTTCTTTCTCAATATCTATCTCTTCTATGCTATGAAATGAATTCACCTAATTGGATTTATGTATGTGATGTGCAGAAACTATTACAGGTGCACTCACAAAGTTGAACAAGGTTGTAAAGCAACAAAACAAGTGCAAAAAGTTCAAGAGGATCCACCTCTTTACAAAACAACCTACTGTGGTCATCACACTTGTAGAATCTTACAAAGCCCTGAGATCATAGTTGATTCACTTTCTCCTTCTCATCAATCTTCCATGTTTCTTAGTTTTGACAACTCTTTTCCAACACCAGCCAAACAAGACTGCCCTTTTCTCACATCACCTTCTTATCCATCAACATCATCATCAATTTCATCATTGCAAAAGGAGTGCAAGCAAGAGATTGTTCATCCTCCTCCTTCATCTTCTGCTAATGATTATTACCTCTCTGGACTCACTTTTGATGATTCTGAAAAGGATGTCACACTATCATCAACACTTGATTCTCATCAACTAGGTGTCCATATTCCGGATATCTTGTATGATGATGTCCTTAATTGGCCTCTTTCTTGAAATTTGATGATTATAACCATGTTTTGGTCAATGAGTTGTCCTTTGTCTTAGTGTGTTTTTCCATTATGGATTTTAGTTTAATATGGTTGCTAGCTAGTAGGAGAGATTAGGTTAATATGGTTGGTTGCTAGCTAGCTATCTTGGCTTCATTTTATGTAAAACATGTTTTGTATTATCCATTACTCCAATGCAAATGCAACATAATTTTAATTATCAACAAAGTAATGGACTGCGGGTCCGAACCTGACATTCTATTTATTCACTTTTAAAAAGTAAAATTACAATCCCTTAGACTATTTAACTCATATATATAGTATAGTACCAATACCCTATAAAAGCAACGTGCAGAGTGATTATGTAGTATAGTACCAGTATCCTATAGGAGATGAGGTTATAAAGGTAGATTCAATGTTTCATTGCATGAAATATCAATGTGATGTGGGGTTGTTGTTTTTCTGTTTCTTTAGTGGGATATAGTACAATGAGAAAAAGGTGATGGAGATGGTTTGTTGGTATGTGAATGTGTGTGAAATATATCCTATTTACAGCGTGCAAAATAAAATGGCCACAGACTCCTGAATCCTTATCCACATTTATAATGATTACTTGCCTTTATATGAAAAAGAAGAAAAAAAAAGGAATTTATAATGTTTACATATCTTCAATGTTTTGAGGTATTTAACACATGTGGAATCAACATTGTTTGGGTGGTGATAATGTGAAAGGAAGTTGCAGATATTTACATGTTGGCCTTGTTAGTTTGCCTCGTTGGTCTGGGAATGGTAAACCATGGCTTCGGCTTGATTCTAGAAACCCTTGCCCTCTCCATGCTCTTTGGGCACCATTTGATTTGTATGGACATGAATATGAACACATTCATGAATCATCACAGAAAGACACATTACGATAATTGGTTAATGTTTCTCCGCTGAGGCTAGATTTTCCCAACTCTGTACTTTTTGATTTCATTGATTTCTCATAAAAAGAGATGGAGAAATCTTTTGTCTAGGAACCACAATTAGATGTAGTTGGGAAAATGAGGATCTTGAATCGGTGGTGTTGATCACAAATGTGATAGCGCGACGTGGAACTGTAAAATTAGTACTTCACCGTCAAAGTCAGATCAAGATTCAAAGTATATTGAAAAAATAGAGAAAAAGAAATGTACATTACTTTCCGTGTGAACTACCTTTATACCTTGGGTCAAGTGGAGTGGATTTGATATGAATTGAGCATTGACTACTTGGGTCTTTGGCCGGCTTGCCCTAAGGCTTTTTTGGGCACTGAGAGGGTTAGAGATGAAGGTGTGAGAAATACAAGAAAGAGGTGTTTGAATTGGGTTTCAGGATTTAAAATAAATTCTTTCTAAGACAAAACAAGGAACACAAGAACAAAAGTAAATGACACAGTTATTTTTATCCTGGTTCACTATTAACTAAGTTAATCCAGTCCACCCGCTAAAGTGATTTTGCCTTCTAAAACAAAGACTTAATTCACTATAATCGAACTGATTACAGACACAACAAAGACAACTATCAATGTTGCAAACCACAAAGACTACCCGTCAATGTCTTCTTGAGAAATTCTTACTAACACTTAGTCTATCAAGGAACAATCAACTTAAGAGTTGAAATACAATGAGTGTGTTTACAAAGTTTCTTCTTGAAAACAGATCACACAAGTTTGAATACAGTGAAATAACACAACAGTGTTAATAGCAAGTTGAATGAACAAAGTCTCCATGCTTGCAAGTTAACGAACAAAAGTTCTTTGCGTTTAAAAAACTTTATAAATGAATATTTGCAATAGAGTTGAGCAGCGTTTCAATGTAAGTTTTGCAGAGAATGAGTTCTTATCTTCATCCTTCCAATTCTTTATTTATAGCCAAAAAGAGATATCTTGGAGAGTAGAATAGGAATACTTAATTCTAACTATTTTGTCCACAACGATCCGTGAGGGAGTGGTTGACAACATAGTACCATAGTAGTCGAAATATTTGTACCATGTACTGTTCTCTCACATAAACCAATTTTGATCTTATCTTTTAATCTTCTGAGAATTTTGATGATTGATGATGAAGCATGCTTAGAAGGATCAAAATCAGTATCTTTAGAACCCAAGTCTTCAGAGTCTTCTGAACTCGTTCATCCAGAATCTTGTCTTCAGATTCTTCAACACTCGGTCTTCAGAATCTTCAGAACTTTTTCTTCCAGAACCTTGTCTTCAGAATCTTCAAAACTTGAACATACAAAATATCAAAGTTTAAGAAGTCTTCTAAAGCTCTTCCAATAGAGTCGCGATCAGAAACTTTATCACTATCGTTCATCATAATCGTTGTTATAGAAGCATTTTATAACTTGACTGGGTCATTGTAAGCACCACTTGTTTCTTCTAGAGACAGAGTGTGTTGTGTTACGAACCTGGTGGTGTCACACACCTTATCTTCAAATTCAAAACCTGTTAGCAAAATCTACGCACTAGACAAAAACTGTTAGAGTACTAAATTATTCTCTAAGATATCATATAATGTTATCATCAAAACTTAAGGTCAGATGCAAAACAAAATCTTGTTCTTACAATCTCCCATTTTTTATGATGACAAAACCATGTATTTTGATGAAAAATATATACTAGGTTTAATCATATAAAATACATTCAGAGTTAGCTAACTAGCTACCCTTAAGTTGTATACTCCCAAACCCAAAATTCATTTTAGGTTGCTCAGAGGCTCCCTATGAGCTCAAGACTTACAAAATAAAATTCGAAGTATAAAAAGGTAGCAGGAAAGAAATACATCCATGTTTTAAATTTCATCAATGTTTGACTAGAAATTCCTGATTCGTCATCTCAGATACGGGCTTGCTATCAGAACACGATGAAGTATCAGAACCGAGTTCTGAATATACATCAAGCATCATAACCTGGTTCGTCATGAATCTTGATCATGTTGAGAACTTCTGAACTTTGTTGGTTTCTTATATATCTTGACATCTCTTCTTAATGTCCTTCAAAATTTCTGAAGTTTACATGTCTAGATAAATTCAGTGAACTTCTATAGAGTTCCTAAGTCAAACATTGGTTAGAAGAAAAAATATTAGAACATGTTAGGGAATGACTCTTGAGAATACGTATATCAAAATCATCTTACTTTCCCCCCTTTTATTAGAAGTCAAAAAGACTTTAAACAAAATAACCAAGAAAGATAAGCTTTATTGATTAAAAATATAAAGTAGAGAATTTTGAAAGCAAAAGAACATACAGAGGAAACTAAGTTCCAAAAAAAAAGGTAAGAAAAAAAAGGCTAGGGTTTTTACTTCTCAAACATCTTTGAAGAAATATATTACAACAAATACATAATCACGACATTGATGGTATTTTATTCTTCATGTATTTGATCTTGTAGATCCAACCGTTCTCTGACTAAAGCCTTCTTAATTTTTATCTCTTCCAGAGTTTGCTGAAGCAGAGTAGACAACTCCCCAAAGCCAGAAGCAGGCAGCTTCTCGACACTTAAAGTAGTTCCTACTTCATGTTCTGAAGGAATCTCAACTAGAGTGAGATCCTGTTGTTCAGAAGAAGTCTCTTCAGCCACAATCACTTCTGGAGCAGGAAGCAAAAGAACTGGAGGAGGATGCAGGCGTGCAGCAATATCAGCATTTTGCTTCCTCATAGCATCCTTGAAGCAAACGAAATGAACTTCAGAAGAGTTGGATTTCTTCCACTTCTTGAAGTCATGCTAGATGACATTTGTTGTTTTAGGAGTCAATCCTTTAAAACAAGCATTCGTTAAGAAATTCAAACGATCCACCATCTTATATTCAAAATGAAGTAATGATTTATTAGAGGGTGGTGGAAGTATGTGTAAGAACAAGATTTGGTTCTGCATCTGATCTTGAGTTTTTATGATTACATTACATGGGTGATTAGATAACAATTTAATACCCTAATGGTGTGTTTAGTGTGAAGCTTTTGCTAACAAGTTATGACTCTGAAGATTTGACGTGTTACATCATTAGATTCTTGACTAAACACACTAAGAGATACAAGTGTGTGTGTGTGTGTCATTGCTTAGAATGCTTCTAAAAAAATGGTTCTGATGAACGTTAGTTTTAAAGCTTCTGACTGTGGCTATGAGAGAAGAGCTTCTGAAGGGTTCTCAGTCTCCGAAGATTCTAAGCTCTCTTACTCCAAGATTCTGAAGATTTTGAAGACAAGGTTCTATTGATCTAATTCTGAAGATTCTAAAGACAAGACTCTGCAGACCAAGTGCTGAAGACTCTGATGACTCTGAAGACAAGGTTCTGTTGAATAAGTTCTAAAGACTCTGAAGACATGGTTCTGGAGACAAAGTTTTTATCCTTCTAAGCATGCTTCAACTCTTATATATTCTGAAGCCTCTGAAGACTAGAAGATAATATCAAAAGGTTTGCGTGAGAAATAATACAAGATCACCTTCTTCCACTACCCTGTTTTTGTGGCGCGAGGACTACAATATTGGTACGATGTTATCTACCACTCACACTGACTATTTCAAGAAGACACTTGGAAATTTTGGTATTCCTATTCTACCCTCCAATGAATTTCTTTTTGGTTATAAAAGGAAGACTTGGATGAATTGGAAAAAAAAGATTTTGTGGTGATTCACATTGGTAAATCGCTACTGAAATATCATTGTAAATCTTTTGTAAAGTTTTGTAAAGCAAGGAACTTTTGTTTGTTAACTTGCTATCAAAAAATTGTTGTTCATTAACTTTCTATTAAAATTGTAGTGTTATTATTTGTACTTCATTTATGTGTAATCTTCTTAGAATAAGAAATCTTGTAAACACACAAACTTGTATTCAGTAGTGAGTTGATTGTTCCTTGAGAGACTATGGCTTTAGTCCGAATTCTCAAGAAGACATTGACGGTTAGTCTTTCTGATTGTAAATATTGATGGTTAATCTTTGTTTGTTTCTATAATCAGTTTGGTTATAGTGGATTAAGTCATTATTGAGAAA